TATCCACTCTCAACAAATGATTGAACATGAGTTTTAAGCTCTTAAACATTTTTGCTCAAACAACGATACTATTTACAGTACTTTTGATATGAAAAAAGAGACATCAATCATACAATATATTACAATGAAGATGCGAAAAGAATGTTGTTGAAATCATCAAAAGATATTTTAATTCATGTCAATTGAAGAATGAAGTTTTACTATTATAAATAAAATGATACTATTTACCGTACTTTTGATATGAAGAAAGAGACATCAATCATACCATATATTAGAATAAGAGGTAAAAAGAATGCAGTTGAAATCATGAAAAGATATTTTAATTCAATTGAAGAATGGAGTTTTACTATTATAAATTTGGGGTAGATTATAATTTAGAATTATTATAATGGTAAGTTTGACAGAGTGGTAGTTCGTCCTAACCTAAACTATTTACACGACAGTTAACCACCGTTAACGCCTATTAAATACATTATTTTGTTTATATTTTTTTTTAATTATTTTTAGCTTCTTCTATTTTAATTAAAATATTTATATAATATATTTTTTTTATTTTATATATATATATATATATAGTATTTTGAAATAATCATTTTTATTGTTTTTTTAATTTTTTTTTTATCTATTTTTATCATTTTTATATTTGAGTTATTTTTAGTTTTATAATAATGTTATATTTATATAATATATTTTTTTATTATATATATATAGTATTTTGAAATAATCATTTTTATTGTTTTTTTAATTTTTTTTTATCTATTTTTATCATTTTTATATTTGAGTTATTTTTAGTTTTATAATAATGTTGAATTAGGTTAATATTTTACCATTATTTTGACGTTTTTAAATAAAATTAGTTTTTTTTAATAATTATAAATTGATTTGTGAACTTTTAGTTATCTTTTATCTCAATTGAGATAAATGGTATATAAATAATTATAAATTATGGATAAATAAAAAAAAATTAACAATCCAAACCAAAATAGAGGGTTGGATTAGGTTGGGCGGTGAAAATTTATTTAATATATATTAATTATTTTAATATTTATGGTATTAAATATAATAAATATATTTTTCTTTTTTAATATATTAAATATTAATTTAAATTTTAAATGACATCTATATTCTATATTTATATTTAATATATCTAATATAATATATTTAATATATTAAATATTAATTGGAAAATATTTTCATAGGCTTATGGATTTTAAGCTCCAACCCTACTTAATTAATTAAAATTTTTAATTTATTAACTTTTATTATAGAGTTGCTAGATATAATTATTACAAACAAGTCAACTATTTTCAAATTATTTATAATTACAATTGCACTATATTTTTACTTTCTCTTTTAGTAAATAATTTATTTATGATCTAATCATAAACAAAGTCTCTCTCAAGCCAATGAGAGATCTTGAGAGAGGGTGCTGCCCTATTGTTCTAATCCTCGAAATAAGCATTTAATAGAACAACTCATCTACTTTTTCTTATATGAGAAAAAAGTTAATTCCATCTAGTGGTATTATGTTCCCAGCTCTCTATTTGGTAAGTCCTCGAAATGATAGACATATTGAACCAAATACGAAAGGCAAGCGTTAACTCACTCAGAGTTAGGATCGAGTCGCATAAAAATCATCATGTGAAATATTAATCTTCTCAATTAATTAAATATTTCTTGGTCTAATCTTATACAATCTCATTGTATAGAATACTCACACTCACATGTCTACACATGAACAATTTTGATCAAATCATTTGTAAAAATTACAAACTGGGTCGTATCAAAAGTGTTATCAGGATAAGACACCCAACTTTATCCTTATATAGATCGATTTGTCAGCCACGTACTATTCAAGATTTCATTAATAACCTTAAATTTTCATACCATGAATATTATTAAATTGTAAATAAAAATTAAATAATTAATTACGAGGCTTCAAGACATATCCCAACACTCATTAGGTTCATTATTTGATGAATTTGAGGAAACTCCAAATTCTTCATCCACAATCCATTTAAAGAATATCATTATCTTACTGGCAATAAGAGGGAGATTTTTCATGAAGAAATAGAGAGCTAAAAACCTCTATATCGAGTTGTCCAATAAACTCCAAAATCGAGTGGAAAAACAGGTATGAAACTATGAGTTTGATTCAAGAAATTATATGTACCCACACAAACTCGTCCTCCCAAAAGCATTTCTTTAGTTTGAAGAGAAGACGATGAAGAGATCTCAGGAAGGAACTGAGGCTAGAAAGTATCTAGAATGTTTCAACCAATTAGAAAAATTATGGGTTTTACTTCGGCAAAGAACATGTTTTCGGGTGAATTTTGGAACTCACTAGAAAGTATCTAGAATGTCTCAACCAATTAGAAAAATTTTGGGTTTTACTTCAACAAAAAACATGTTTTCTGGTGAACTTTGGAAGGTTATAACTAGTGCTACGTGTCACGGTCATTGCCGCACAATCGCAAGTTGCTGTCACCAAAAGTGCGATTGTGACACTACATACCACAAAAAGATATGAAATCAATCCTTATCTCTTTCTTATAACTCCATCTAAAAGTTTTGTGGGACATTGAGTTGATTCGAGATCTATATAGAGTTGTACAAGGGTAAAACCAGATGTAGATGGTATGGAAAATTGTGACTCCGAACAACCTCAAGGAAGAAGGTGAAGCCCTAAGTCAATGGCAAAGATCAATAGAAGTCAAAGGTAATCCTATTTTGACCTTTCCACCATTTGTTTTCAATCTAACCCCATTCTAGACCCGTTCTTATAGATTTCTTTTTGGTTCCTGAAACTAGACACATCAAGGGTCCGATATAAGAAAATTCGGAACAATTCGAGCACCGAAAGCTCAAAAATCGAGATCTTGAACATCAATTAAGAGGTAAGTAGCCAATATGGACTTTGGTTAAGAAATACTTGTAGGTATCCCTTAGATCTAAAGGATTATGGAAGAAAAATACAAATATCGGTAAGTTAAGGACTCAAACCTTGACTTTTTCTCTGAAATTAAGTAATGTTAAAATAACTCACTGTTCTCCGCTGCTCATGAAATTTCAAATGCTGAGTATAATATGATATGTTAAATATAATATATATATATATATATAAGTTGATTGTCATTGGATGAGGTTAAGTAACTAAACCAAGTAATAGATAAAATGACCATAATTTCTCTATAGTAATGTAAAGCTGGTTAACGACCTAAATGACCTCTAAATGACATGATATTTTACTAAAAGGCCTAAGGTAATATATTAAGGCTATATATGAAGTTTAGTAGCAATTAGAGTTCGTTTAGGGGTTGAACTAAGGATAAGTGCAAAATGACCAAAATGCCCGTACATGCCTAAACATTGGTTTAAGAACCAAATGAATTTAAAAATAACCTAAGATTTTATATACGGTCTCTTTTCAAGGATATAAAAGTTTATGCAAGATTTTAAAGTCGTTAGACCACATTTAGTGGTTGAATCAAGAATCTTAGGTAAAATAACCAAAATGCACCTAAGATAACTGTAAGCCATTTCAAGGACCTTGAAATGACCTACCGTTTTAACTAAGGTCTATATATAATGACATAAAGCTTTACCCGAGAGTTTAAGAAATTTGGAACACATTTAGAGTTTAAACCAAGAAATGAGGAGGTAAATGAATAAAATATCCCTACAAAAATTCAAAGATGTTTTCGGGCACTAAGAAACTCCAAATGTTATGAACCTTTACATGAGGGAATGTGGGAAGAGGAGAGTTTCCTATGCGCTATGACTCGGTTTGCACAGTAGTGTCATGGCAGGTCTCCTCCATTCGTTAGTTGGGGTTGATTTTTGAAGTGTCTTCGTGATTCGTGTCATGATCATGTTTTTTGTGTCCGTAGCCGCATGCTCATATATTTAATTTCATGTTGTGTTGTCTTACTATTGTATTTACTGTTTGTATGAGTATTCAACGAAATTATGTCTAGGTCTAGGTCTGCTAGACCAGAATCTCCGTTAATTATGTCTAGGTCTAGGTCTGCTAGACCTGAATCTCCGTTTAGGTTTAGGTTTGATCTTGGTAACTATTAATTAATGACTAATGTTAGCTTTTTTTTTTTTTTTTTCAGGGAGGAAAAGAAGGGGGAGGATAGAACCACTCTACTTAATAATTTATCTTATTAAATTAAAAACATTAACATATTATCCTAATCCTAGGCGGATAGCGGGAATCGAACCCGCATCTTCTCCTTGGCAAGGAGAAATTTTACCATTCAACTATATCCGATTTTTTTTTTATCCCCAATGTATAGTATACATCAATAGGGGGTGTGACTAGTCATCAACTCCTCCCACCTAGATTTTGTATGACCATTCAACGAAATCATGTCTAAGCTTTCTAGACTTGAATCGTCTCAAAATGTACTATACTTGGGATGCGGCCTCAAAATGTATTATACTGGAATGCGGCTAGTTGTCAAGTTCTCCATGCCCAAAAATTTATATGTTACTTAAGTCGTTGTGTTGCCTTGCTTTTAGATCTCTTTCATTCTTACTTTCAAGCTCACTTTCAAAAATCTTTCTACCCGTTTTCTAAAACCTTCTGAAAACAAAAATAGAGGTAGTATACGTTACTCAATTGTAGAAAAACCTTCTCAAAACGAAAATAGAGGTTTGAGTATACGTTACTCGATTATAGAAAAACCTTCTCAAAACGAAAATAGAGGTTTGAGTATACGTTACTCATTGTAGACAACTTGAATCCAAATTGGCTTAACTCACTCACAAACACAAACAAAGTCCACTGCACAATTATGACAATTAGCACATTGGTTGTGCCTATGGTTCTGATTAGCACTCAGAATAACGACGAGAAGTCGAATGACCTAACTCGACGAGAATGAGTAAGACGATGTCAACAACAAACAACAAACTAAGACAGAATCTTTCAACATAGGTTGTTTATTATCTTTCATGTTATATTTAGAAATATGATTGTTCACATGTAGGCATTGAAGACAATATGTTTGAATGCTTATGTAATATGGCATCCAAAAGAAGAGCTTCATAAAGAAGAAAGGACCTAATCCCAGTTCTGAAACATAAGAAAAAACAGACCAATGCTAGTAAAGGTCTGCTCATTTCCAACGTTCTCCTCTCGAGAATGCAAAACGGCGACCCTCTCGAGTGAATCACTCGAAGATGAAGCTTAAAGGATGAATTACTTCAGTGATCGTTACATTACAATATTATGTTAAAACTTAAGGTTCGTAAGCATAAACTAAAACATCTAAAAGCTGATGTCTGACTCATGGATACTGGTCGTTCCTTAATCTGCTTATTTTGAACTGCCATCCCCAAGGAATTGGTCTACTAGTTTCGCTACTGAGGTCGCTAGATCATCTGCTGCTTCCTGTGTCGATGCCTCTGCGTAGACACGAATGACGTCTTCGGTTCCTGAGGGGCGTATGAAACAACGTCCTTGAGGATATTTCGCTGCAGAAAATGAAGCCAAATTGTGGACATCATTGTTGAGCTGATCATGGAGATATCATGTAATCCAATTCAAAGGAGAAAGGGCTATCATATCTGAAGGAAACCATCTTTCTTTCTTTCTTTCTTAAGAAAAAGAACTTTCAGTTGGAAAGATGAAAGGATAACAAAAACAAGCCAACATAAACCCAGACCCACCGTTAGCAGATATTGTTCTCTTTGAGCTTTCCCTTTCGGACTTCCCCTCAAGGCTTTAAAACGCGTCTGCTAGAGGAAGGTTTCCACACCCTTATAAATGGTGTTTTGTTCTCCTCCCCAACCAATGTGGGACATCACATTAACAAAACAATCCTCAGGCCCAATTACAAAAAGGGGATCCAATCCAAAATGAATCATACCATGCAGATAATTACAAAATAGCGTATCAACAGATAACAGACGCCCACATGAATGATTTAAACTTACATCACATCCCAAAGATCCTTCTCAGATCGCTCGACCCCACGAAAAATGCCAAGTACTCCAAAACAAAGCAAAAAAGAAAAAAGATTGCCAAAGAACCCTTCCTTTGTCATGAAAATGAGGATTCAAGAACACTTCTCGACCAACAACCTCTATAACAGGCCATTGCAATCCCAAAGGTTCTAAAGAACCTGTTCCACGGGGAGGTAACAAACACGCAGTCCTAAAGTAACTGGTCAAGATCGTTTTCCACTCCTACGAAAGACGAACCATGGCTCTTATAAAAACCCTTAAACCTATCACTTGAGACCCATTCAAAAGGGTGCGGTCCATACTCGCTTACAATAATTCATCTACCACAGAGAATCAGGCTCCAACTGAACCCGCCATATCTATTTCACAAAAGAGCCTCATTACATAATCTCACTTTCTCAAAGCTGCCATAACAATCTATCTAGTTTAGCTGAAATGGAATATAAGAAACAGATCCTATTCAAAAGGGTGAAACATACAAGAACTCTCAAGGAAATGGCAAAATGAGTAGAGGGGGAATAATTACTTGGCAGTTTTAGAGTTTAACCGTCAGAGAGAATCAAAGAGAAAACACAACAGAATCACAAATCTAACTACGATCTGTTCAAACATCTGAATAACATGGCTGTTCTTATAAGTTAATTTCAGTACTTATTCACAAGATAAATGGAAAACTTAATATTGCACCAATTAAAAGACATGTTTCTTTTGTTTTTCGTTTTGGGTAGGGTGAAAATATTGGCAAGAAATTGAAGAGGCCACATATTACCCTACATCTTCCACTAGGATTGTGTGAATTATGAATGATCATTGTTCAAAAGAGTTTTAGATGGCCTTTAAAAGTAGTATTTTAAGTAAAGTAGTTTTGTATAAATACTTTCAGGTAAAAAATAAAAAAAAAAATCAGAAACGAGACTGTAAAGAGGAGAAAGATAATTATGCAGTTTCATTTGAAACTTGCAACAAAATTAACCAAGCAAATAAAGATTTTAGTATTGTCGTTACCTATTTCCAAATCGATTGCTTCTTGCAACCCAGGTGGCTTCACGACCTTAGTTTCTGCGTTGGAAGTCTCAACCGCTGTTCTATCAACGACTTTCACCTGCGAGTCAATGAAGAATGAGTCCATTCTCAAATAAAAAAACTGAGATAAATCCTCTTCAAATAGTTGCAAAAGAAAGCAACAGACAAGCATGCTCCCATCTTGTAATGTAACCTACTTAAATGGTTGAGTTAGAGCCGATTTGGAGTGACTTTTCAAGTGCTTAATAACATTTTCTTGTACTTAAAAACACTTTTTAACATACTTACAAAATCATTCAAAACAAACCACTATTGATGTTATTGCCCCACACACAGCGGAATGAAAAAGGATGGGAGCAATTTCCGCTAATTAAAAATTTTCAAAAAGTTGTCCTTCCAATTCGTCCCTCTAAATTTTGATTTTAGAACTGCAAAATTTGGTTCTACCACAGTTGAAACAAGAGCTCGTTGTCATCGATGGTCACGCAAGGATCAGTTTCTAGTCATACGAAGAGATAAAAATGATTAGGTTGACCACCAGCAACAGTTTTTTGCACTTTCATTCCTGACTAGCAAAATTCACCTACTTCAGAGACTGTATTAGGAATTTGCATCTTAATTGTACTGTTCATTAACTAATGAAAGGGTTATTATAGAAAATAAAACATAGATACTCGTAAGAAGATTTATGATGGACTTCAAAACAAAGAATATGACCAATTCCTTGTTAAAGCTCCTAAAGACAATCAAAAGAAAGCTCCAAATACAGAACACAATTTTTGCTTCTGTCATCTAAAAAAAGTAATAATAGTATAATAAACTTGTAGCAAGGAAACAGACGAGCAAACCTTGAGCTGCCTACTCGGTAGGTCCTGATAAAGCTCACTCCATTTATGTATCGACCAATTTTTGTGCCGTAGAATAGCCTCAACTAGAAGCAAGCCACTCAGAGCATCTCCCACAGCTTGATTGATCAATTTGCTAATTGCCAGTAATCTCAAGGCTGCCTTGTGCGTTTCTGAACCTGAAACACATAATAAGTTAACTTTTACACTCAAAATATAGTTGTTAGGATCCTGATTATATGGTAATATAAAAAGAAAAGTGTAATGATAATAGTTTTACGAGGGGGCTATCTCTTTACCACATAAAACTAATCCCAATATGTTCCTCCCCCAAACTTCTTAACTTCCTCTCCATTAATAACCATTCCACCCTAACAAACTCCTCAGGCAATGAATAGTATGCCAACCCCTGCTAGTCATAATATAGCCTCCAACAATGAATCAACCAGCATAATAACTACCATGTCAAATGTTACCTGCAAATACATTGGAGAGCTCCCAAGAAACGGGCTGTAACAGGGAAATGCAGTAATCTGAGAACAAGACAGTCCCATGACCATTTGCTTCAAAATAGATCCCAATGTCATATTCAGCAGCTTTCTCATGCAAGTACTTTACTCCTGTTGGAGTGAGCACTACTTCTAGTCCCAAGTCTTTGAGATATCGAGTTGATGCTCCATTCGCATAAGCAGTTTGCACAACACCAAGGCGGGGCTCAAAAGCAATTTTGGTGTCTTTGCTCCTTGCTGCCAAAATTGTTAATTGTTCCTTGATGAATATAGCAAATAAAGATAATATCTTGTCCCCATCAACAAGATTGATCTTATTGCTACTTCCTGATGGCACAGTAAAATATACAAGTCGATCGGCATCTCCATCAAAACTAACACACCTGAAAAGCTAGAAGCATCCAAGCATTCGATTAAGAATATTATAATTCTCAACAATAAAAGATATATCAATGAAAACTTTTCCCTAATTTAATAGATCAATCTTACTGAGATTAAAAACTGATATCAATCCCAAAGGTCCATGATGATGATGAGAAAATAAAGGGGGCTATTATGCGTGATACAATGTTAAATTGTAAGTGAAAAGTCATTACATAACATGCAATCCACTATCTGATATGGAGGGGAGAAGGGTAAGTTGCAACTACAAGGATTCCATATTGACCAAACATTTGTTTACGAAATCAAAAATTATTTCTATGCAGATGAAGATCAAGATATTTCTTAAGTGATATGATGTGTAAGTGTACGCAAAATCATCGTAGAATTTGTCATAACAACAACAAGCTCCAATAATCAACAAAATAGCAATGACAAACCTGATCCCAACATCTTGTGAACCAAAGCTACATGGAACTGTCTTCTCTTTCTGAACAAAATCAGCACCTACTCTTTCATTGAGTACACCTTCTCCTTTTCCTGAATTACGAATCTCAATAGCCAAACCATTCAATTTTTCCTTCAAAAGTTCTAACTTCTGTCCACCCACACCATTAGCCCCATCAACAACCAACCGGTTATCCCAATCATTCAGTTCACTATTATTTGGGTTTGAATCCAACAACCACCTATCAAACATAAAAGTCCTTTAAAAAAGTATTCCAAATAAGTCAATTTCTAAGATAAGTAAATAAGATAAAACAACTTGAACGAATTTGAGAGTCCATTGAAGTAATCAAGTTCGGATGATTCCAAGCCTTTATTCCGAACATGAACCATCCAATGCAGCTGTGGGGTCGTCAAAGTTCCCATATCTTGAGCAACAGCCCCAATGATCGAACCGATTCCCTTCATCAAGTCAAACAGTGAACAAAATAACAGTATTACAACCATGAAGATTGGAACAAAGATTAAAAAAAAAAGAAATAAATTGAACTACTATTGCAAATAAAGGTCAAATACATTTTTAGCAGCATCAAGTAGCACTTCTCCACTTGGCCTCGTATCTCTTGCCACCAGAATTTGAGCTGATTTCGATCCATCTAGTAAGATATTCTCCTTCTCCGCAAATTCATTGATTAACTGCTTATCAATTTAATCGCATTGCACATCTTAGAATCCATGTCCAGCTATATTAAGGCAACCAAATGAGAAATAACAACAAACTCACTCCCAAATATAGAAAAAAAGAAGAAAAAAAAGTCCAATTTCTAGTAAACCAACTCCTCCCCAACTTTCTTTCTCCAATTTCACCTTCATCAATCGTTAACCAAATAAGAAGAAACAAAGAAAACAAGAGCATTGTAATTGATAGCCATACTCGAACGAGATCTCGCGAGGAAGGCGCATTGGCAAGGGCATTGGCAAAGGGCTCCCACTCTTGGGTGAGCATTCCACCACTCGGATCAGCGATTTTTACTCCATTATCAGATACTTTATTGTGAGAAGCTGTGATCATCAACCCGATCACTGCCTCGGTTTTCAATGCTCTCAAAGCGGCCAGGATTCCCACCCTATACATCGTCGACAGAAGCACCGATGCATCTTCCCTAAAACCTGCTGTTCCATATGATAATCTCATTCCTAACAACACAAAATACACAAGAACAAGAATCAGAAGCTATAAAACAGGAATCAGAAGCTATGAACAGTAGTAATTGTTGTAAAAGAAGATTGAAATGGGGAAAAGCAACCATGAGGAGGTGGGAACCGATCAGATTCTCTAAGAAGGAGATCAAGTTGCTCTTTGTTCATGACCTCGAATCTGTAATACTCTCTAACCAAATTAGCTTCACTGACTTCGTTGTTCTCTCGCTGAATTAAGCAAACGTTACAATGAAACAAATTCAGCGATTACAAGACTAATTCCTATACTGCCCTATAAAATTGGGTCGGGTCGGGTCGGGTCGGTTTCCTGAAAATTCGACCTGTCCTATATTTTATTAAAATAATTCTTAAGTTTTGTATTTTATTAAAAAAAAAATATTTCTAATTTTATATTTTATCACAAAAATACTAATATTGTTACGATTTTAAAAGAAATTAAATTAAATACACTTATTTTACTTTGGGATGTGTTAAAAGATATTTAATTATAGTTTATTATATATATCATTTGATATTTTATTATAATAAATATCTAGATATTTGTCTTCTTTCCATAGGTATCTTTTCATATATTGTTCTTTCCATTTATTACTGTTTCCATATTCTTGCAATTTATTTGATTATAAACAAAGAATTTCACAAACTTGTGGTGGTTTAACCAATGGTATCAGAGCCCCTTCGATTTAGCAACCCCGATCCTTCATTTTCAATAGCTTATGAACCCTCTACTCATTTTCTTCTCTACCACCCCTACTGGCTTTGACGCCGTAGGGGCAGTCTCCATGTCTACCACATGTGGAGCTGATTGATTACTCTTCGGCTCCACCCTTTTGACCTCCAAATCACCCTTCGTCATACTCTGTACATACAACCTCACCTTCTCCAACACAATCGGTTTTCCCTTAGCCAACATAGCCTCTCTCATTTTCTTTCCAATCAACCCTTCATCCTTTACAGAAGCCAACATAGCCTCTCTCATTTTCTTTCCAATCAACCCTTCATCCTTTACAGAAACTCTAATCTCATGATCCTCATTAGCATTCTTTTAAAAAATATACGGAATCTCAATAAGCCCGTACAAAAAATCAAGTGAACAATTGGTTCTATGGTGTAGTAGTTAGCACTTTACACTTTGAATCTAGTGACTTGGGTTTAACTCCCAGTACGACCTTCCTCTACATTTGACTCTCGTTCTCTTATTATTATCTCATCCTTACTTCAACCTTAAAAGTTAATATTAATTTGTCGAACATGTCTCAATTGACATAAAATGTGTTACTAGGCAAAAATTTTGATGAACAATTGGTTCTATGGTGTAGTGGTTAGCACTTTGGACTTTGAATCCAATGACCTAGGTTCAACTCCTGGTAGGACCTTTTTTCTTTTATATTTAAAATATCAGATACGAGATAAAATTTTGATTAAATTACAATTTTAGTCCATTTTTTTTAGATATACGTTATTGATTTTCCTAGTTTTAAAATTTGTATTGAGCGGTAGACTATGTCGGGATGGATTGAGGCAATGGCTGAGCTACCGTATAGGTTGGTATTTGGTAAAGCTTGACACGTTCTACGCAAAGTTGGTGTACTCTAGAACCAATGAAGAGCATGAATTACACTTGAGAAGAGTATTGTCGATGTTGAGAGCACATCAACTCTACGCAAAGTTCTCCAAGTGCGAATTTTGGTTAGAGAAATGATCTTTTTGGTTCACGCCTTGACCTACCTCAGCTACAAAAGTTAGAAGCTTCCTTAGACTAGTAGGATATTTACGAAGATTCATTCAAGACTTCTCCAAGATCGTTTAAGCCCTCGCTCAACTACCAAAAAAAGGGGAAGCCCTTCGTGTGGAACGAGGTCTAAGAGTAGAGAGTATTAGGGCAAACTGGTAACGACACTTATGCTCAATGTGCCTAATGGTTCAGGGAATTTTGTGGTCTATAATGAAAGGCAAGGGACTAAATTGCGTTCTAATGCAAAATGACAAAGTGATAACTTACGCCTCGAGACAATTGAAGGAATATGAGTGTAGTTACCCCACTCGTGACTTGAAATTAGTTATCGTTGTACTTTCTTTCAAAATATAGCAACACAATTTCTATGGTAAAAATATACATATTTTCAGTGATACAAAATCCTAAAGTACATATTCATGCAGAAGGAACTCAATATGAGACAGAGATAATGTAACAAGAGTTGGTCTAGATGATAACCGCGACAATGCAAAAGATCAAGCTGAGGACTCAGACTACATAGAACGGGCAAAATATTGCATCCAAGATTGCATCTTGTGGTAGATTGCATCTGAGTCATTCAATCAAGTCTTGATCAAGTTCGATTGTGGAGTGACTCAATTTAGAACAAGGTTCCAAATCTTACTCGGTATATTTAATGTTAAAGTAATTTAATTCTAGCCTTATCATTTAAATCTAAATTTTGTATAAGGAAGTGTTAATTTATTTCATTCAAGAGTTGGAGTATTATCTCAAACCGGGTGAAAATGTGATCTTTTAGAAACTTGAGTACAATTTTGACCTTGTTCATTAGGCAAGCCATTGCCTCAACCCATCCGGACACAGTCTACTACTTGATACAAATTTGAAAGCTTAGGATTCTATGGGATATAGAATTCTATGGGAAATTTACCATTTTTGTTTTCTTTCTTAGGAGAATTGTCAAAATATTCCGGAGTTGGAGGAGGCGTTGAGGAGAGATATTTCAGGGAAGGAGGTGCATGAGATTTGTAGAGAGATGGGATCAGTTACACCCTCCCACGTGTCTTCTTTGGTGTGGTGGTTCCACCAGAATACCTTAACGAATGCAATTTTCCTGTTGCGTAGCGCTTTCACTTCTCGAGCTAGGATCCTTAAGGGTTTTTCTTCATAACTCAAATCTTCGTTGAGTTGGAGGGGTTCATAGTCTATTATGTGGATAGGGTACGTCATATATTTCCTCAGCATCGACACGTGAAATACATCGTGTACTCCTGAGAGAGAGGGCAGTAGGGTTAACTTTTATGCTATGGGACCAATCCACTTGAGAATCTCGAAAGGTCCGATGAACCTGGGGCTCAACTTGCCCTTACGTTCTAACCTCAAGACACCTTTCATAGGTGCCACCTTTAGAAATACTAGGTCTCCTATCTCGAACACTAAGTTCCTATGTCTTACATCGGTGTAGCTTTTCTGTCTACTTTGAGCGGTACGTATCCTCGCTCAAATTTTCTGGACAACCTCATTGGTGACTTGAACTAGCTCAGGTCCTATTAACTGTCTCTCACCTACCTCATGCCAACATAGCGGGATCTGCATCGTTTCCCATACAGGGCCTCAAATAGTGTCATCCCAATAGTGGCTTGGAAGCTATTATTATACGAGAATTGAATCAAGTGGAGCTTGGAATCTCAACTTCCCTCAAAGTCTAGTATGCAAGCGTATAGCATATTCTCTAAAATTTGGTTTAGGCGTTCCGTTTGACCATCTGTTTGAGGGTGGAAAGCGGTACTAAAGTCGAGGCGAGTATGCAATGCCTTTTGAAGTCCGTGCAAAAATACTGATGTAAAGCGTGGGTCTTGATCCGACACTATCGACACTGAGACTCCATGTAGTCTTATTATTTCCTTAACATACAGTTGAGTCCAGTTGTCAACTATATGTGTTGTTTTTCCTGGTAGGAAGTGTGCCGACTTGGTCAACCTGTCGACAATTACTCAGATCACTGTATAGCCCTTCAGCGTTCTAGATAGTCCTACTATGAAGTTCATTGCTATGTTCTCCCGACTCCACTCCGGTATACTAGGGGTTGTAACATCCCTACTATCTTTTATCTGGGAGCTTTTACTTGTTGACACCCTAAGCACTTACTCACAAACTCGGCCATGTCTCTCTTCACGTTTCTCCACTAGAAATGTTGTTTTAAATCTTGGTACATCATAGTACCTCCTAGATTCATGGAAAATGGTGAGTTGTGTGCCTCTGTTAATATCTCTTTCCTTAACTTTTCTATTTTCAGGACACATTGACATTCCAGAATCCGTCTATTGGACCCTCTGCAAGTTGGCTTAGGATTTTTTGTCGGTTAGGGTCCTTTTATTGGGAGTCAATAATTCTCTCCCTAAGTGTGGGTTGTACTATGAATCGGGTCAACTATGCTATGACTCCCTCGGTCACTACAACTATGTTGGCTTGCTTGATATATTTTTGTACCCTTACATCCCTCGTAATGAGGACCGACAAGTGGACTGTCTTTCTACTTAGGGCATCTACGACCACATTTGCTTTTCTAGGGTGGTACTGGATATCTACATTGTAATCCTTCACCAATTCTAACCAACTTCTCTGCGGTCGATGTTTTAAACTCTTGCGGTCGATGAAATTTGGGTTTTCTCTCCTCATAGGTAGTATCGCCAAATTTTTAGCGCGAACACTACGGCAGTCGATTCTAGGTTGTAGGTAGGGTAGTTCTTTTCATATTCTTTTAGTTGACGGGACGCGTATGCAACGACCTTGCCATATTGCATCAAGACGCATCCAAGTTCTTTCTTAGACGCATCACTATAGATCACGTACCCTTCGGGTACCGTGAGTATTGGGGCGGTTACCAATCTTTGTTTTAGGTCCTGGAAGCTTACATCACAAGCATCATTCCAGGTAAATTGTACCCCTTTTCTCATTAACTGTGTTGAAGGTGATGCTATCCTAGCGAAGTCCTGCACGAACCTTCAATAGTATTCCTACAACCCTAGGAAACTCCCTACTTATGTTACTGTAGTTGGGCGTTCCCACTTTGTGACCGCTTCGACCTTGGTAGGATCTACGGATATTCTGTCCTTTGACACCACGTTTCCTAAGGATGAGACTTGTCATAACCAAAATTCGCACTTGGAGAACTTGATGTACAACTTGTTCTCTCTCAGAGTGGCTAGGACTTTTCGGAGGTATCCTTTATGTTCTAAGTCCGTCTTCAAGTACACTAGGATATCGTCAATGAATACGATCACAAATGTGTCTAAACAGTTCTTGAATACTCAGTTCATTAATTCCATAAACACAGTTGGGGCATTAGTGAGGCCAAACGACATTACTACGAACTCATAGTAACCATACCTTGTCCTAAACGCTGCTTTTGGTACGTTATTTTCTTTAATCTTGATTTGGTGGTAACTGGATCGAAGGTCTATTTTAGAAAATATCGTCGCCTCTCTGAGTTGATCGAATAGGTCTTCCATTCTAGG